ACTTTGAGACTCGCTCACTAGTAGCCAAAATTAATACTATCCGTCTATTATTCTCCGTAGCATCTAATCTAGAATGGCCCTTATATAAGTTTGATGTGAAGAATGCTTTTCTCCATGGAGAACTAAAAGATGAGGTTTACATGGGAGCACCACCCGGGTTCTCATCAGATTTCAGAAAAGGCGAAGGTTGGAGATTGCGAAAAGCTTTGTATGGTCTAAAACAATCTCCACGTGCATGGTTTAGCAGATTCGCGATAGCCATGAAAAAATATGGATATCATCAAAGCAACTTTGATCATACCTTGTTTTTAAAAAGACGAGGCAAGCTCATAACATGTTTGATCATCTATGTGGATGACATGATAATTACTGGCAGTGACATAGAAGCGATGGATATAATAAAAGGCAAGTTATTCCAGGAATTTGACATGAAGGATCTTGGAGAACTTAACCTTTTCCTTGCATTGAAGTCCTCAAATCTCAAGAGGAGATCTTTATTTGTCAAAAGAAGTATATCCTTGATCTTTAAGTTAAAACTGGATTAATGGATTGCAAACCGCCTGTCACTCCGATGATGGTTAACCATGGACTTCAAATTAGTGAGGAAAGAATACAAGCAGATAAAGATAAGTACCGAAGACTTGTAGGCAGACTTATATACCTCGTACTCATAAGACCTGATATTGCAGATGCTGTCGGAGTGGTAAGTCAGTTCATGCACAAATCACAGAAGGAACACTAGGATGCGGCTATCTGAATTGTGAGATATCTTAAGGGGACCATTGATATGGGAGTTACATTCAAAAAACATGGTCACTTAGACATTCAAGCCTACACAGATGCTGAGGCAGGAAATCTAAACGATCGAAGATCCACTTCAGGGTATTTCACCTCTGTTGGAGGTAATCTAGTCACTTGGAAAAGCAAGAAATTAAAGGTAGTTGCTCTATCAAGCGCAGAAGCAGAAATCAGAGGTATCGCTCGAGGAATTACCGAAGTCATTTGGCTAAGAAAACTCCTTAAAGATTTGGGGTACCCGTCGAAAGGAAAGTGTAGACTGATGTGCGATAATACCTCTGCTATCCGTATATCAAAGAATCCAAAACAACATGATCGTACCAAGCACATTGAGATTGATCGTCACTTTGTCAAAGAAAAACTCGAGGCAGATATCATCAGTCTTCCATATGTCCGATCTGAAGATCAGTTGGCAAACATTTTAACAAAAGCAGTAGCGGCCGGAGTCTTTCAAGCAACATTAAGCAAGCTAAATATCCGGAACAGATGATTCAACTTGAGGGGGAGTGTTAGAAATGTCAAACAAAGGAATAGTGTCAAACAAAGGAATTGATTGTAATATCTTGATGACTAAGATAATATCCTTGATTGGAATATTCAAATTACCAATCAAGATATTTGATTAAGTTCCAATCACTTTCTTTAATTGTCCTCTTTATGTACTCTTTGTAATATTTATAGACATCAAGAGTCATGTACTCAATAAGATGAACAATTAAGTTGTGAATTCATTCTATCATTATTTCAAATACTCACAAAATAACTTATTTTTGAGGAAGGAATTAACGGAGGATTCTATTAAGACCACAATAAAGAGGTGTTTTTAGAGTGTTTTAAGTGTCCAAAAATGACGAGGGGTTTAAATAGGGTAAAGAGAATATGTCCGTTGGTCCAAGAAAAGAAGTGAAATATAAAAAAAATAATGCAAAAACTTATTATTTAATTAAAAAATCGATTATTGGTTTTGATTATTCATAAAATTCATCTAGAAGAAAAAAATTGATTTTTGCTAAAGTAACAAATCGATTTTTGGAGCAAAAAATGCACAAACAGGATAAAAACATGCATGTGCATGCAGATAAATCATTTTTGTCCAACTCTTCTTGTTTCCCACAAGATAACAGGGTGAAGGAGGCTCCCTATCACCTCCGATCAAACAATTATTCAAAATAAATTTTGAACAATTAAATGAAATCGGGGCGTAGAAATTGAGTTCCAAAAAATATTTTGTGTGTCAATTGATGTATAAGAAAAATATTTTAATAAAATATTTTTGGTACCAAAAATATTTTCTAATATCAAAATAGGTATTTTGATAAATGTTTGACACACCTTTTGTAACTAACTCAAAGAAAGTCATTTTAAACAGGCAAAATAACTACCCGTAGTATAATTTTTATATAACTCTCATAAAAATAATTTTGGAGTGAAGAATATTTTTGTCATTCTTACAATATTTCCTAAGACTCAAACAAATTAAAAAGTTTTCAGAAGTCTCAAAATAAAGTCTATGCACCTTTTTGAGTATTTCAAGGAATAACACTTTAAGTCTTCGTGTTTGTCAATATAGCATTTTAATTTTGACTTGAATAATTTGTGTTTGTCAATTATCAGAATATATGAGAATTAAAAACTTGATAAAGGTACCACCTCACATTATTTTACATTAAAAACTTGATAATTAAATTAGTGAAGTAAAATACATGAATTATAATGTACTTTTTAAAAAAAATTCCGTAAATTAAAATTACTTATGTAATTTAAAGGATTATTATTGTTTCACATCAACTTAAAAATTTATACCACAAGAACATTATCTTAAAAACAATTATAAGATCTTTGCCATTAGACCCCGGCCATGTTGTTTTTAACGTGCTTTAGTAAATATTTTTCCTAGATTCGCCATCTATATACTATACTTAAAGCAAGGGGAATTTTTTTACTCAATTAATAATTTAGAAATGGAGTTACCGTAATTAACTGTAATCAATTGAAACAAATTTCCAATTGGAGTTATCGTAATTAACTGTAATCATTAATGGAGTTACCGTAATTAAGTAATTACTCAATTAATAAAATATTCAAATTCGTAGGTGTTCTAATTGTAAAAAGGTAAGTAATAATAAAATATTTAAAGTAATAATAAAATATACAAACGAGTGCTTTAATTGTAAAAAAGATAAGTAATAATAAAATATTCAAACATAATTACACTTACCGTTAATAAATCAATCATTTTTTAACCAGTTTATACAAATGGTAATAATTGGGCAGATTCTTCATACCATAACTTGCATAAACGAAATTAGAAATTAAAATACGTATAGAGTAATTAGAAATTAAAATACGTATAGAGTAATAAAAATAGGAAAATACGTATAGAGTAATGTACATTTTTAACACGTATACAAAAATGGTAATAAAAAATTATTAATGGTAGAGATGTTGAACATTAATGCAGCGAAACAAATTTGGGCGGATTCTTCATACCATAACTTGCATAAATGAAATTAGAAACTAAAATACGTATAGAGTAATTAGAAATTAAAATATGTAGAGTAGTAGGAAAATACGTATAGAGTAATGTACATTTTTAACACGTATACAAAAATGGTAATAAAAAATTATTAATGGTAGAGATGTTGAACATTAATGCAGCGAAACAAATTATGGCAGATTCTTCATACCATAACTTGCATAAACGAAATTAGAAATTAAAATACGTATAGAGTAATGTTCATTTTTAACACGTATACCAAAATGGTAATAAAAAAGGAACACCAAAAATCTCCAATTCATGTAGCATAAATACGCTACTTTACCAGCCAGAAAAGTAAACGAGTGTTCATGAAACGAGAATTTCAATTAATCGGTGCTCCACCATCGTTTTTGTACGAACATGGGAATGATTACCGCCTTAAAAAATGTTCATGAAAATTCCAGATTATTGATGATGAAGCTAAGAGCGATTAGAGTTTACCACGTTCCTGCTCATTCTCGAGGGCCGGACTCATTAGATATTGTTTTCCACAACTCAGAGGTTAGTTCTACATTGTTTTATATTTTACATACAATAAAACTTTAAATAAAAAATATAAATTTAATTATAGATTAACATTTTATATTTGTTGTTAGGGCGATCGAATCCATGCTCAGATCAAAGATACTAATATACGCACATTCAAACAAGATTTGCAAGAAAATGTGGTTTACTTAATCATGAGGGTCAAGGTTATACGCAATTTCCAAGGCACAAAAACCACCAATCACCCTTGCATGCTCCAATTTTTGGGAAGGACCAAGATTCAAAAAAATATTAGAAAATGGATTTCCTAATTTTCGATTCTACTTTAAGAGTTTTGAAGATGTACTCAAAACAAAGTTTGCTGACCAATTCTTTTTAGTTGGTAAGAGTCATTTACATTTACATAACTTAAATACTTACACATATGAAATACATTTCATATATTATGATTATGAAATTTATAAAATTGTATCTTTCTGGATTTTAGATATAATCAGGAAAGTAGTTAGTCGAAGTGCGCCTGAAACCCGTATGGTTAATAATGCCCCAGAGCAAATAATGGAAGTTACCTTGGAGGACCACAAGTATGTGACTTTTTAAAAACCGAATTCATTTTAATAAAAGAAAATATATTATAGTTTGAAAAAATTACTAAAAATTCCTTGCCAAGTAAATGCGGGTATGAAACAGCTATGCGCGCATACTCTCTTTTTAATACTAGAAATTATTTCCTTTATATACTCTATCCGTCCTAAAATTAACTTCTCATTTGATTTTTTAAAAACCAAATTCGGACACATCGGAATCACCCCCTTGCCAAGTAAATGCGGGTATGAAACAGCTATGCGCGCATACTCTCTTTTTAGTACTAGAAATTCCTTTATACTCAGGGGTATATATAAATTTCCTTTATATACTCCGTATAAATTTAAGAGTTCAATGCATAACAGCATGACATATGGAATATATGGAATATGAGGTATACATGTGGAATGATATGAACATATTATGTGGTATTTGATTTATGAGCTAAACATTCATTATTATTTAACATGTGATTAAACTTTTATTTTTTATCAAAAATAAAATTATTAAAAAAACATTTTTAATAAATCTTTATATTAAATTATTAAGAAAAATTAAAATATATTCAATAAATCCTTTATATAAAAAGATTAAACTTTTATCTTTAGAAAGTTGACATGTGTATTACTTATGTAACTTTTTTACACCTAATATGTCACCTAATTTAAGATATAAAATACAGAAAAATATTTCTATATGAAATCTATGAATAAATTTAGTTATGAAATAGGTATATTCATTTCTATAATAATACCTTTTCATAATTCAGTATTTTTTTCATTTATAACAAAATTTTCAATTACTAAATACGCTATTTTAAAAGAATGGCAGTGTAGTAGTTGCAATATGACAATATGGTGTGACAGTGTCACAATAGCAGTGTGATCTCCTATTTTAGTTTTAAAAGAATTTTTACTCTTTTGGTATTTCCTAGTTTCTTACTATATTATCCAGAGGTTTTCTCTTATATTTTGAATAAAAAAAGTTATTTAAAGTCATTAATTTTTATGGAATAATTTGTTATGCATATATATACTTCTTGATATACGAGTTCGTTTGGCCGCTACTTATCTTGAAAAAATGACAACTTTAAGATTCTTCATTGTATGAGTGAACTTAATCTTCTCATTTGACTATTAACAATCTTCAACCTAACATTTTGATTGTTAGTAACAATACTTATCCTTATCATATATTATGAAAACTTCATATTTCAAAATAACGTTTCAAAAAATATTGATATTACATTTATTGAGAAACAAGAATGAACACCGGAAAAAGATATAGGACGATGAACAATTTATGTTTTGTTATAACTATGGATAAAAGTCAATGTCAAATATTATCATTTCTTGGAATGCTAGTTAATAGAAAAAGTGATTTTGATCTAAACCTGAAGACCGGCCGGTCCGGTCGGGGCTGGATTTCATAACATTGCCTACTACATTATGCAAAATTGAAGCACGAACGTGTCTCATGCATCCTGCTTTCCCATTATTGTCCTCTCGCATCCTGCTTTCCCATTATTGTCCTCTCCTAATTAGTTAAGCAGAACGACATACGTGAGCAGCGGTATATCGTGCTCCACACCCATAGCAAAACTCTTGTCCACACCTGTAAATATATATAGATGTTGCATAAAAAAGTTCTAAATTTCATAATTGGTCCTTTATAATAGCGCAGTTTCCATATTTAGTCGTCTATTATCCAATATTACTCCCGTATTCCTTTTTTAGGATACCTTTCTACAAATAGTTTTTTATCTTCTAAGGTGTTAATATTAATTTAAATGCTAAAAGTATAATTTGACATCAACATATGTCTAGTGACATTTTTGATATTAGTTAAACGAATAACACAAAAATAATGACTATGATTGTGGGCTATAATTCTAACGAAAGACCACATGTGTAGTCTATACATGGTTGTAGTAGAAAGCGACTGTAATTCACAAACGATACAAACGGGACAACATTTGAAATTGTGTATGACATAAAAAATATATTATCATTGTGAAATTATACTTTTAGCCCTCAAATTAACACCAACATAATAGAAGATGAAAAAAAGGACTATTTGCGGAAAGATACCCATAAAAAAAGGACCACTGGAGTAATATTTGATAATAGAGGACTACATAGGGAACCCCAATATTATAAAGAACCAACTATAAAATTTACTCCATAAAAAGTAATAAAATTAGATAAATAAATTACTACCTCCGTCCCAGAGTATTTGTCCGGCCACTTTCATTTTTACACATCATCCAATACACTTCTTTAATCTATTTTATCTTGTAATTTGTATATTAAAAAAATATAGAAATTATATATTAATAATATATATGTTAAGACAAATCAAACAGGATCACACATGACTATATTTAGGCTTACACATGCATTGAGAGAATTTGATGAGTCAAAGTGCTTAGATGAACAGTTCCAAAAGTCAAAACTGAACAAAAACTAGGAGACGGAGGGAGTATAAATTAATTATAGGCTCTTCGTCTCATAATTTTCGTCTTGTTTGCATTTTTATGATTAATAGTTTTTAGTTTTGATAAAAAAATATAAAAATAAATAAATAATACAAAGTATTAGGTTATGATATAATGGTCAAAGTAATGTGGTGAAAAACAAAAAGAAAACAAATTATGAGACAAGGAGAGTAAATTTTAGATTAAATTTTATAAAAGGTCCCTAGTTATAGGTCGTTTTACATATTTAGTACCTACATATCAAATTTTAATAATTTAGTCCCCAATTATTATATCATTTTTCATGAATGGTCTTTTGTTAACATTTTTGTTACGTAAAGAACATGGATAAAATTGTACATTCATACTTCTCTCTCTCCTCAATTAAGCTTCCTCTCTCCTCTCGTACTCTTTCCCAAACTCATCGCTGAGTTTGAAACTCTAAACCCAAAATTGAAATGATCATTCATCTCTCAATTATTAGTCTTCCTGGTGGAACTTAAAATCAAAATCAATAATCTTTATGGATGATTTTTATCGATTAATCTCAAGAAATTGCAAAGAAAATAAACATTAAAACTCATTCATGAAGATTACTGGTTTTGAGTTTGGGTTCTACCCATTAGACAAACAATTGAGAGAAGAGTGATAATTTCAGTTTTGGGTTCAAAGCTTCAAACTCAGTGACGGGTTTAGGAAAGGAGTGCAAATGGAGGGAGGAAGCTTAATTGAGGAGAGAAAGGAGTGTGAATTTACAATTTTATCTACATTCTTAATGAAAATGTTAACAAAGAACCATTCGTGGAAATGAATATAATAATTGAGAACTAAATTAGTAATATTTGATATGTAGGGACTAAATATGTAAAACAACCTATAATTGGATACCTTTTATAAAATTTACTCTAAATTTTAACTACCAATAATAAAATGTACCGAGTACCAATTAATTTGAGAAGAAGAGATTATTAAATATTTTGCTCCCTCTGTCTTAAAAAATAGTCTATTTATTGTCATAGACATTCGATAATTTTTACAGAGTATTTGTGAATGCCTTTTTATTATTTTTTTGATAAAATAAAATATTTTTGTTACTACCTTTTTTTAATTTAAAAACAAATCAATTTAAAAGAGACAAATTCCTTATTTACAATTTTACATATTCAAAAGAAGATAGTCCAGAGTTTTTTTTGTTATGAAGGGTAAAAATGGAATAGGAGTGTTAAAGGGAAACACATGACCCATACCTGCAGAGAATATGGAGACAGCCAGATTTCTTTTCCACGAAGAACTTACAAAAGGGGCATCTCCGCCATTGCTTCTCCTTGGCCAACCCGAGCATCATGACGTCATCTCTCCCCCTCTCGTCCGCATTCAGCACTCGAAACTCCCCGCAATCCAACCCGGCGTGCCACGCGACCCGGCACTGGGCGCAGAACAGTCTCCGGCAATTCGGGCACTCCGAGGCGGTCACCGCCTCCCCGCCGTCGTCCACCATCATCGCCGAGCAATCGGCGTAGGGGCAGTAGAACCTCTCCGATCCGAGCACCAGCGACTCGCAGATCGCGTCCTCCCAGCGCTCGAACACCTCCCGGGGAAGGATCGGGCGGCAGAGGTGGGGGTCGATGGTTCCCGGGCAGGAGACGTCGGGGCACCTGACGGAGCTTATGTTTTCCTGGATTTTCACGGCGACGTGCCGGCCGATGCACTCCGTGCAGTACGTATGCCGGCAGGAATTGTTCCGGAACATCTCGCCTCCGGGCTTCCTGTCCATACAGATTCCGCAGAACGCTACGGAGGATTCGCCGGCGTCTGATTGCTCACCAGGTGTTTGGGTTTTTGTCTCTGAGGTTCTGGACGCCATTGTAACGAGAACAGAGGACATTAGGGCCTCTTGCATTTGCAGCTCCTCTGCGTATTTCTCGTCTGAAACGGGGAAGATTTCGTCCTCATCGTAAAGGGCAGAGAAGTATAAATCATCTACATAAGGTTCGGAATCCATATTTATAAAGGAACATTTGAAGTTGAAGATGACATGATAAAGAATTCGCGTGAGTTTATAAAGCAAAATGGGTACTCCCTGTATTGAATTTACAGAGCACTACTGATTCCCAGGATACGATTAATGCACGTTTTGTTTTGGTAATTTGAACAGTCCACAGTCCACACCCTCGGAATTCATGAAACAATTCAAATGTGCATGAGAAATGCATTTGGTGTCAAATGTATAGTATCACACTTAGAGCACTGGTAATACTCTTCACGCCCACCGGCGTTACGGGGCGTTTAACGCCCCGGGGCGTGAAACACCGCCCCCCGCCGGCGTGAGACGGGCGTGAGGAGCGCTGCGTCATTCGTTTGACGCGGCGTGAGGGCCGATTTTTTAGCCGTTCCCCTTCCCAACGGCTATAGAGCCGTTACCCCCCCCCCAATTAAAAAAAAATCTAAATTTAAAAAAAACCTAAAAAATCCCCCCTTCTCATACATCTTCTTCACACCTCTCTCTAACAAATCTCTCTTTATTACTATATATTCTCTCAAAAATATTTGTTATTTATTATAAATATTTATAAAATATAATTTAAAAATGGGTTCATCTTCCGACGATGAAAGAAGACTAGAAGAGCTTTATTTTTTCATTGTTTCGCGACGAATTGTATTCAATGGTGGGAAGATGGGCAAGAAGAAGCTGAATCCTCCCGACGACGGACCCGACGCCAACGTCTAAACCGGGATTGAGCGGCCGCCCATGATTCACTTCTAAACGACTACTTTAATAATCCGTGTGTTTATACACCGGAGGATTTTAGTAATCGTTTTCGGATGAGTCGTCCTCTGTTCTTACGCATACTCGCCGATGTTGAACGCGAAGTTCCTTGGTTCAACCAACGGTTTGATGCGAGAGGCCGACGCGGGTTTAGTAGCGTCCAAAAGTGCACTGCCGCGCTCTGTCAGTTGGCGTACGGGACGACATCCGATATGTTCNTTGCAGGCGAGGCATGCCGCAAAACACGGCTTTGTCGGCATGCTTGGGAGTATTGATTGCACGCATTGGGAATGGAAAAATTGTCCCACTGCGTGGCACGGTCAATTCTCCCGGGGAGATCATCCCAAGCCTACCATCATGCTCGAAGCTGTTGCTTCGAATGACTTGTGGATTTGGCATGCTTTTTTCGGTGTCGCGGGCTCGAACAACGACATCAACGTTCTCGATCAATCGCCTATTTTTGATGATTGGGTTAATGAGACCGCACCGGACTCCTCTTTTGAGCTTAGAGGGATGCTTTACAAGCGTGGATATTATTTGACTGATGGAATATATCCGGATTATTCCACGATTGTTAAATCTCTCTCCGAACCAATGGGTCTTAAACGCCAAACCTACAAAAAAGCTCAAGAGGCGGCGAGAAAAGATATTGAACGAGCCTTTGGGGTATTGAAGGCTAAGTGGCACATTCTAGATCGTCCGTCGAAATGTTATTCTCAGACAAAAATGAGGAATATCATGTACGCATGTATTATTCTTCATAATATGATCATAGAGGATAACGGGTCTGCGATTTGTCAATACAACCTGGACAAGGAGGTGCCTATGTACGAAGAAATCACCGAAGAAAAGAAGCGACGCAACCGCCAAGAAATTCGAAGCCGAGAGATTCACAATGCACTAACGGCGGATTTGATCGAGAATATCTTTAGTCGTTCGAATAATTAGTGATTTCTTTGTACTATTGTTTTTTTTTTATGTAATTTTTTTTAATGAATGTAATTTTTTAAATGTTTTTTTATGAATGTAAGATTTTTTTATAATGAATTTAATTTTTTTATGCAATAGTGTCATTGCGATTAATTAAAATTATAAATTAATTTAAATTTATAAATTTAAATTTAGAAGATGTGTATTTAAAAATGTAAAAAATGAAGGTTTGAAGCCCCGGGGCTTCAAAATCATTTCCAGTGATTTTTGGGTGTAAGTTAAAGCTGACGTGGCAGAGAGAGAAAGTTTGAAGCCCCGGGACTTCATGACCATTACCAGTTTGAAGCCCCGGTTTGAAGCAAGGGATGGTGTATTTTTAGGGGTGAGCATGGTACGGTATTTTGCTCGTACCGATACTGTACCAAATATTTCGGTTCGGTATGGGATTTTACTCCGTACCGATCCCGATCCCAAAATATCGGTTCAGTATGGTTCGGGATGGTTTGATATCGGTTTCGGTATAAATCGTGTTGGGAATTTTCCCTCCTACATGGAGGAAGTGCCCAATTTTAATTGGACAACACTTTAAATCTCTCTTTTATATTTGGACTTATTTTTGTGTGTAAAGTTTTAGCCCAATTGTTTTTTTTAGTGGCCCATTCTCTTGTGTTGTGTGTGGCTACTAACTAAAGAGATAAGAGAGCAAAAAGAAGTGGAGAAGCAGTGAGGGCTGGCACTAGCTAAACGCAGGAAAGAGGAAGAAAAAGAAGATTTCTGCCACTCTCTACAGCAGCAACTTTTCACCTCCGGATCGAAGACCAAACGAAGTTGGATCGTGCTCAAATTTTAGTATGTTGTTCCTCACATACTCTTCAAATCCAACGGTCAGATTCTCATTTTGATGCTCGGAAGGCTGTTTTCTAGCTGCGTTTTCAGACCTCCGTTTTTGGGAGTTTTTACTCCATTTTATGGTGAATTGTTGATTGTTGTTGTTCCAAGGTTGCTCCTTGATGATTGTGTATGCCTCTAGTGTTTACTAGAGAGGAGAACTTGTTGTACCCACTTGATTCTTGGTGATTAGTGGAAGTTTGGGAGCCGTTGTTGAGCGGCCGTGATTTTCTCCCCGATTTCGGGTTTCCACGTAAATCGTGTGTCACCTACTTTATTATCGCTGCCATTTATTTGTGTGTGTGATGCTGATTTTTCAGAGTTAATCGTCTCTCATTAATTTGGGGAAAAGATTTTATACGCTTCCGTTGTGTTTTGTTCCGTGCTTCCCCAACAAAGTGTTATTGGAGCTTGATTATTTTTGGTTGGCTTCTTGTGTTTTTTATGATGGATGACAAAGTAATTGTTCAAGGAATGGTTAGTTTGGACTCTACGAATTATTCAATTTGGAAAATTCGTATTGAGGATTATTTATGGTCTAAAGATTTGCTTGACCCAATTTTGTATAAAGAACGTCCAACAGGTGTTGATGAGAAAGCTTGGACTACCTTGAACCGGAAAGCTATTGCATCAATAAGACAATATGTTTCTTTAAGTGTGTTGCAACATGTTGCTAATGAAACCAATGCTTTTGAGATGTGGAAGAAACTTAAATCCATGTACGAGAGGAACAATGCTATGGGAAAAGCTTCTTTGATTAGGAAGCTTGTTAAATTGCAATACAAAGATGGTGATAGCATTGTGGTTCACATGAACGAGTTTCAAAGTGTGGTAAACCAACTAGCCGGAATGAAGATGAAATTGGAGGATGAACTTCAAGCTTTGTTGTTGCTTTCCTCATTGCCCGACAGTTGGGATACATTGGTGGTTTCACTTAGCAACTCTGCTCCGGATGGCAAGATGACTATGGAGATGGTCAAGGCTAGTCTTTTGAATGAAGAGGCTAGGAGAAAAGAATCAGGTTACCCTAGCCAAGCCGAAGCAAATGTGATTCCAGAATC